TCTATGAGGAGCATAAATGATGCAAGTTCTGCTGGTTTGTTTGTTCCCTGGCCTGTTTTCAACTACAGGATTATATATGCTTTCCACCACTCAGTAACTTGCTCTGTATGTTCTTCGGCAAACACTATTGGTGTTGTTCTTTTCTCGATGATGATGGCTATACTATCATCTGGTACATCCACCTTTGACCCCCAATGTAGCTAAGGCATTGGGGAAACTGCTGTGTGTTCGAGGGGTATGCTAGATTTGGACATCATCAAACTAAGTGAGCAACCTTTGAACTACGGTGCGATATGGGGCTAACAGAGGCTCCTTCAAGATGAAATCACCCATTATTTTCTTGACAACTAGCTTGGAATCGCCCCAAATTTTCAACTTGCGGGGGCCCTTCTTTTGGGTAGCAATTGGACCCAGTATCAATGCCTCATATTCAGCCTCGTTGTTTGAACATTCAAAGTCAAGCTTATATGATAGATGAAACTTCTCTCCTTCTTGACTGGTTAGTGTTATGCTAGCTCCACCTTTCCCAGCTCCAGAAGCTCCATCAATTTTTAAGTCCCAATAAGTTTCAACTACAGCTGCTAAGACATGGACCTCACCTGGTAGAGGTACCTCTACAGGTTCATGTCCACCAGATGGGAATTGGGCCAGTAAGTCTGCAAGTGCTTGGATCTTAATAGCCTTGGGAGTAACACAAGTGATGTCATATTCTGCTAGAACCAAAAGCCATCTTGCCATTTTTCCAGTCAGAGCATGCTTGCTCAGCAAGTAACGGAATGGATCACTCCGGGTCACAACCTGGATCGGGTGTGCCAAAAAATAGTGGCACAACTTCTACAATGTGAAGATTAAGGGTAAACACTGCCTCTCAATTAGGGTATATCGCGACTCGGCACCATTGACTTTGCGACTGATGTAATAGACTGGTTTCTCAATGCTATCCGTGTCTTGGACAAGTAGAGCTTCAATAGACCAAGGTGTAAAGGTCAGGTACAGTAGTAGAGGCTTTTTGGATTGTGAGGCAATCATTGTAAGTAGAGAGGTAAGTGCTTTCTTCACCATATCAAATGTTTGTTGGTATTCTTACAACCATTCAACCTTGTGATTCCAGTGCCCCAAAGGAAAAGGTTATCTCAACAAGGGCTGGAATGAACCTTCTACGGTATGACACGTTGCCTAGGAATTTCTTCAAGGACTTTTGAGAGTGTGGCGGTGGCATCTCCATGATTGACTACATCTTATCCCCATCTACTTTGATCCCCCGTTGGTGTACAAGAAAACCAAGGAACTTGCCGGTGGTAACTCTGAAGGCACGCTTGACAGGGTTCATCTGTAGGCAGAATTAGCGGCAAAGCTGAAAAACTTTTTCCAAGTCGCAGAGGTGTTGGTTTGCCTTAGCAGACTTGACCACTAGATCATCCACATATACTTCCAATTCATGATATGACATGTCATGGAACACTGCAGTCATAGCGTGTTGGTAGGTTGCCCCCACATTTTTCAAACTGAAGGGCATCACCGTATAGAAAAAATTTCCCAAGGGCGTTCTAAAAGCCGTCTTTTCTGCATCTTCCGATGCCATTTTGGTCTGGTTATAACCACTGAACCCATTCATGAAGGAGAACATCTGATGGCCCGTCGTAGAATCGACAAGTGTGTCAACAAAGGGCAATGGAAACTCATCTTTCAGGCAGGCCTTATTCAGGTCACGAAAGTCTACGCAAGCCCTGATTAGGTCGTTCTTCTTCTTCACAGGCACAATATTTGCTAACCAGGTTGGGTATTGTATAGGCTCACTGATCTTGGCCCTCTGTAAGTTATCTACCTCCACTTTAATCTTTGCTTCAAGATAAGGGTGATACTTTCGAGCATACTCTTTGATTGGCTTAGAGTTTGGAAAAGTGTCCAGATGATGAGTAATAAGGGGTGGGTCAAGACCAGGCATCTCATCGTATGTCCAAGCAAAGACGTCACTGTACTGCTTTAGTTGTGTTATCAATCCTACCTTAGCTGCTGGAGCCATTGTATCACTGATATACACGGGCTTGCTCTGCCCTGATAAGTCGCTGAGGTTGACCTCAACAAGTACCTCCTGCTCCGGTTTGGGTCTATCTTGCATGCATTCAAGGGTGGGCTCAGGCGTCTCTACCAAGCTTTCTTGGAACTCATCACCGTCACGTTTATTCGTCTTGGGGCCATCCTTCCAAGGTATGAAGTATGGCCCCCAAGACTGTCATAAGTAGTAAACTGTCTTGCCGTCCTTGTGTACCTTAACAATCTTGGGTGGAGGACTTGTGGCCTTGCTACTCCTTTTCTGCCCACTACTTTCTAGAGTAGCCTCTGCATCCCGAATATCTTCTTACTTTGGCAATTTTACCACTGCAACTTTACCAGTCCTTAGAGTTTCATCCATTGGCAACTCAGTAAAGAAAACTACATCCGAATAGTGTGCCTCATCCACTTCAAATGGCTTTTAAGACGCATTTATGGTTACTATGCGCTTTCCCAACTTTGCCTTCATGCATTGGTGATAACTTGACAAGATAGCCCCACATTGGTGCATCCAAGCTTTGCCAAGTATCATATGGTAATTTGTGTCCGCTTTAATCACATGGAACTTAGTTGCGGAACGGATCTCACCAACTACAAAGTCCACGATAGCATGGCCCTTAGTAACTTTTTTCTCACCACCAAAACCCGTCACGGTGATGGGTTGGTGAACCATCTTGGACTCTGAGATTCCAGTTTTTGCAAAGGTGTTAGCAGTAATGATGTTTATGGACGCCCCACCATTGAGGAAAAGCACGCTTGAACTCTACATTATTGATGTAAGCTGTGACAAAAAGAGGATGGTTATGGGGAAATGTGCATGGTCTATCTGCTTCTAGGAAAGTAATGGACCCATAATCTTCCTAGATACGCCAAGGCACATACTTCTTGGCCTCGCGCACAGGCCCAAGGTATCTAATCATATGTGCATTCTTCCCCTTCTCTTTGTGGTTAGGATAAGGGTCCTTCCATATATCACGATTATCGGCATCTTTGAACTTCAGCTCATTTGAGTCAACTTTGTTCTTGAAGATACTTTTCAAAGTCCAACAGTCTCTAGTAAGGTGTTTGGTGGTTTTGTGATAGATACAATAATCTGGGCTTTCTTTGCCCTTTTTGGTTGGAGGGACATCAATCGGTGGCAAACTAAGTTCACCATCGGCTACCTATTCTTTAACTAAGGCCTTAACATTCTCAAGGCTGCAAGGATATGGATTCCTATCCTCATAACTTTTCCTCTTTTGAGAGGATAACGCCTTCCCTTTCGAGCAGCTCCCTCCTACAAAGGTTACCGTAGCAACTCTGCTACTGCGGGAGTAGCGGTGACTTTCATGAGATCTATGCAGAGGACCAGTGGTACTGAAGTTCCTAGCTGCCTCAACCAAGGCTGAAAAGGTAGGTAGATTGTGGTTCACCAAGAAAATTTTATAGTCACGTATGGCATCCTCTACACATATGCTGACTAAATGGGCCTCATCCACAGGTTCATGATAGTCAATAGCCTTATCTTGGAACCGCTTAACATAGTCTAGCATATCTTCAACTTCTTTTTGGACATCTCGCCCAAGTGTGAGGGTTGTAACTTTCTCTTGGACTTGGAAGAACTTCGTGTGGAACTTGTTCACTATCTTCTCCGAACTCTTGATCAAGTTGGGAGCCAAGTTCACATACCAGCTGTAAGCTCTTTCAGTAAGTCATTTGGAGAACTCCCGAAGGCACAGACAGTGGTCACTGCCATGGACACTAAGAGTTTCAATGAACCTCACGACGTGTTCTCTGACATTGCCTTGTTTCCCATCGAACTTAATAAACTTGGGCACTGTATACCCAGTTGGGTATGGCATGGTCAATATCTCCTGAGAGTATGAGCGTTTCACATCTGGGTTGGGGAGAGATGGTAGTTGCTTTTTGCTACGCTCTTGCTCGAGCATAGCTTGTACATTGGCTAGAGTAACAAAGTGAGTGGGCTCCAACCTTGAATTGCCTTGGAAGCACTATTTTGTTATATTTTCTGGACAACTCTTGCTGGTATGAGGCGATGTAAACTAGTGCTTTTTCCCTTCTCTCTTCTGTAAGGTCGAGTTCCAAAGTTATGGCTTCTTCATTCAAGTTTGGGTCAAAATTTTCACTTCTAATAATGAGGAGGCCTACTTTCAGTGGGATTATTGCCTTCATGCCATAGGCCAAGGAAAAAATGTTTCTCCAATTAACCGCTGAGGTGTGGTATGGTAAGCCCATAAAACATGAGGAAGTTCCTCAGCCCACGCAAATGCCCAAGCATGAAACGGGTAAGGGGTCTTGATTTTGTGCAGTTCAACCGCCAGTGCAAATATCAAGTTCCTAAATTTCTGTCAACATTGGCATCTCCTTTCAAAGATTTTAGCATCTTCTTCCATTGTCGGCCAGCAGCAGCCGAGGTGATTAAGGTGCCCATATAATCGCTGTGCTCTTTGATGCTCTACCTTGTGGGCTTCTCTCAGTACTTCGTTTGCCTCATCCTTTGATAAACACGCCAAAGGTTTCTTTGCAAGGCTTTTGCGGGTACAGCTTGCCAGGGTGAAGGAAGAAAAGGGCCCGCCTCTGAACTCTAATAGCATCGGCTTTGCTCTCAGGCAGTGTGCCATTTCCAAGATAGTCAATATACAGCTGCCTCCATTCCTCACTGCTTAAGATTTAGGGTAGGACTGACATTTTGCATATTGCCTCTGCAACTCAATGCTTTCCTTTTCCATCTTTGGCTAGTAATACCCTTGCCTCTATATCTGTCAGTATAGACTGATATCTCCATTTCCAAAGGACTTAGCATGGATCTACTTAAGTCTGTAAGTTTCTTCTTGTCTACTGACGCACCTTGCCAGCTGGTTATTGGGACCGCGAAAGTACAACTCTTCTATGAGGAGCATAAATGATGCAAGTTCTGCTGGTTTGTTTGTTCCCTAGCCTGTTTTCAACTACAGGATTATATATGCTTTCCACCACTCAGCAACTTGCTCTGTATGTTCTTCGGCAAACACTATTGGTGTTGTTCTTTTCTCGATGATGATGGCTATAATATCATCTAGTACATCCACCTTTGTCCCCAATGTAGCCAAGGCATTGGGGAAACGGCTGTATGTTCGAGGGGTATGCTGGGTTTGGACATCATCAAACTGAGTGAGAAACCTTTGAACTACGATGCTATATGGGGCTAACAGAGGCTCCTTCAAGATGAAATCACCCATTGTTTTCTTGACAACTAGCTTGGAGTCGCCCCAAATTTTCAACTTGCGGAGGCCCTTCTTTTGGGTAGCAATTAGACCCAATATCAACGCCTCATATTCAGCCTCGTTGTTTGAACATTCAAAGTCAAGCTTATATGATAGATGAAACTTCTCTCCTTCTTGACTGGTTAGTGTTATGCCAGCTCCACCTTTCCCAGCTCCAGAAGCTCCATCAATTTTTAAGTCCCAATAAGTTTCAACTACAGCTGCTAAGACATGGACCTCACCTGGTAGAGGTACCTCTACAGGTTCATGTCCACCAGATGGGAATTGGGCCAGTAAGTCTGCAAGTGCTTGGATCTTAATAGCCTTGGGAGTAACACAAGTGATGTCATATTCTGCTAGAACCAAAAGCCATCTTGTCATTTTCCAATTAGAGCATGCTTGCTCTGCAAGTAACGGAATGGATCACTCCGGGTCACAACCTGGATCGGGTGTGCCAAAAAATAGTGGCGCAACTTCTGCAATGTGAAGATTAAGGGTAAACACTGCCTCTCAATTAGGGTATATCACGACTCGGCACCATTGACTTTGCGATTGATGTAATAGACTGGCTTCTCAATGCCATCCATGTCTTGGACAAGTAGAGCTTCAATAGACCAAGGTGTAAAGGTCAGGTACAGTAGTAGAGGCTTTTTTGATTGTGAGGCAATCATTGTAAGTAGAGAGGTAAGTGCTTTCTTCACCATATCAAATGTCTGTTGGTATTCTTACAACCATTCAAACTTGTGATTCTAGTGCCCCAAAGGAAAAGGTTATCTCAGCAAGGGCTGGATTGAACCTTCTACGGTATGACACGTTGCCTAGGAATTTCTTCAAGGACTTTTGACAGTGTGGCGGTGGCATCTCCATGATTGACTTTATCTTATCCCCATCTATTTTGATCCCCCGTTGGTGTACAAGAAAACCAAGGAACTTGCCGGTGGTAACTCTGAAGGTACGCTTGACAGGGTTCATCTTTAGGCAGAATTAGCGGCAACGCTGAAAAATTTTTTCCAAGTCGCAGAGGTGTTGGTTTGCCTTAGCAGACTTGACCACTAGATCATCCACATATACTTCCAATTCATGATGCAACATGTCATGGAACACTGCAGTCATAGCGTGTTGGTAGGTTGCCTCCACATTTTTCAAACTGAAGGGCATCACCGTATAGAAAAAATTTCCCAAGGGCGTTCTAAAAGCCGTCTTTTCTGCATCTTCTGATGTCATTTTGGTCTGGTTATAACCACTGAACCCATTCATGAAAGAGAACATCTGATGGCCCATCGTAGAATCGACAAGTGTGTCAACAAAGGGCAATGGAAACTCATCTTTCAGGCAGGCCTTATTCAGGTCACGAAAGTCTACGCAAGCCCTGATTAGGTCGTTCTTCTTCTTCACAGGCACAATATTTACTAACCAGGTTGGGTATTGTATAGGCTCACTGATCTTGGCCCTCTGTAAGTTATCTACCTCCACTTTAATCTTTGCTTCAAGATAAGGAATCGACAAGTGTGTCAACAAAGGGCAATGGAAACTCATCTTTCAGGCAGGCCTTATTCAGGTCACGAAAGTCTACGCAAGCCCTGATCAGGTCGTTCTTCTTCTTCGCAGGCACAATATTTGCTAACCAGGTTGGGTATTGTATAGGCTCAATGATCTTAGACCTCTGTAAGTTATCTACCTCCACTTTAATCTTTGCTTCAAGATAAGGGTGATACTTTCGAGCATGCTCCTTGATTGGCTTAGAGTTTGGAAAATTGTCAAGATGATGAGTAATAAGGGGTGGGTCAAGACTAGGCATCTCATCGTATGTCCAAGCAAAGACGTCACTGTACTACTTTAGTTGTGTTATCAATCCTGCCTTAGCTGCTGGAGCCATTGTATCACTGATAAACACGGGCTTGCTTTGCCCTGGTAAGTCGCTGAGGTTGACCGCAGCAAGTACCTCATGCTCCAGTTTGGGTCTATCTTGCATGCATTCAAGGGCGGGCTCAGGCGTCTCTACCAAGCTTTCTTGGGACTCATCACCGTCACGTTTATTCGTCTTGGGGCCATCCTTCCAAGGTATGAAGTATGGCCCCCAAGACTATCATAAGTAGTAAACTGTCTTGCCGTCCTTGCGTACCTTAACAATCTTGGGCGGAGGACCTGTGGCCTTGCTACTCCTTTTCTGCCCACTACTTTCTGGAGCAGCCTCTGCATCCCGAATATCTTCTTACTTTGGTAATTTTACCACTGCAACTTTACCAGCCCTTAGAGTTTCATCCATTGGCAACTCAGTAAAGAAAACTACATCCGAATAGTGTGCCTCATCCACTTCGAATGGCTGTTAAGACGCATTTATGGTTACTGTGCGCTTTCCCAACTTTACCTTCATGCATTGGTGATAACTTGACGAGATTGCCCCACATTGGTGCATCCAAGCTTTGCCAAGTATCATATGGTAATTTGTGTCCGCTTTAATCACATGGAACTTAGTTGCGAAACGGATCTCACCAACTGCAAAGTCCACGATAGCATGGCCCTTAGTAACTTTTTTCTCACCACCAAAACCCGTCACAGTGATGGGTTGGTGAACCATCTTGGACTCTGAGATTCCAGCTTTTGCAAAGGTGTTTGTAGTAATGATGTTTATGGACGCCCCACCATTGAGGAAAAGCACGCTTGAACTCTACATCATTGATGTAAGCTGTGACAAAAAGAGGATGGTTATGGGGAAATGTGCATGGTATGTCTGCTTCTAGGAAAGTAATGGCCCCATAATCTTCCTAGATACGCCAAGGCACATACTTCTTGGCCTCGCGCACAGGCCCAAGGTATCTAATCATATGTACATTATTCCCATTCTCTTTGTGGTTAGGATAAGGGTCCTTCCTTATATCACGATTATCGGCATCTTTGAACTTTAGCTCATTTGAGTCGACTTTGTTCTTGAAGATACTTTTCAAAGTCCAACAGTCTCTAGTAAGGTGTTTGGTGGTTTTGTGATAGATACAATAATCTGGGCTTTCTTTGCCCTTTTTGGTTGGAGGGACATCAATCGGTGGCAAACTAAGTTCACCATCGGCTACCTATTCTTTAACCAAGGCCTTAACATTCTCAAGGCTGCAAGGATATGGATTCCTGTCCTCATAACTTTTCCTCTTTCGAGAGGATAACGCCTTCCCTTTTGAGCAATCCCTCCTACAAAGGTTACCGTAGCAACTCTGCTACTGCGGGAGTAGCTGATAGATACAATAATCTGGGCTTTCTTTGCCCTTTTTGGTTGGAGGGACATCAATCGGTGGCAAACTAAGTTCACCATCGGCTACCTATTCTTTAACCAAGGCCTTAACATTCTCAAGGCTGCAAGGATATGGATTCCTGTCCTCATAACTTTTCCTCTTTCGAGAGGATAAGCCTTCCCTTTCGAGCAGCTCCCTCCTACAAAGGTTACCGTAGCAACTCTGCTACTGCGGGAGTAGCGGTGACTTTCATGAGATCTATGCAGAGGACCAGTGGTACTGAAGTTCCTAGCTGCCTCAACCAAGGCTGAAAAGGTAGGTAGATTATGGTTCACCAAGAAAATTTTATAGTCACGTATGGCATCCTCTACACATATGCTGACTAAATGGGCCTCATCCACAGGTTCATGATAGTCAATAGCCTTATCTTGGAACCGCTTAACATAGTCTAGCATATCTTCAACTTCTTTTTGGACATCTCGCCCAAGTGTGAGGGTTGTAACTTTCTCTTGGACTTGGAAGAACTTCGTGTGGAACTTGTTCACTATCTTCTCCGAACTCTTGATCAAGTTGGGAGCCAAGTTCACATACCAGCTGTAAGCTCTTTCAGTAAGTCATTTGGAGAACTCCCGAAGGCACAGACAGTGGTCACTGCCATGGACACTAAAAGTTTCAATGAACCTCACGACGTGTTCTCTGACATTGCCTTGTTTCCCATCGAACTTAATAAACTTGGGCACTATATACCCAGTTGGGTATGGCATGGTCAATATCTCCTGAGAGTATGAGCGTTTCACATCTGGGTTGGGGAGACATGGTAGTTGCTTTTTGCTACGCTCTTGCTCGAGCATAGCTTGTACATTGGCTAGAGTAACAAAGTGAGTGGGCTGGAATGGTCAAGTCTGCTCCTAGGTAACAAAACCAGTAGCCGTACCATTCGATTGAGGTACCACTGGAGGCACCTGGATCGGAGCCCGAACCTTAGGGAACAGGTTAGGTACTGGGTTTGGGAGTGCTATAGGCGGAGGAGCTTGCGCTGTGGCTGGTCTAGACACCAAGGCCATAATAGCCTCAGTGAGAGTTTGCTAAGCTCCCTCTATGTGTCCTGGAGTAACTAGACTGCCTCAACTACAACACTGTGGTCACAGTCCTCCGCATGTGCTACCCCGCCATTGGAAGAGCCTTGCTATCTTGGGGGTTATTGAACTTCATCCTTACCCATTTTTCCCAGTCAAGTGTGTAAACCACTGCGAGTACGAACCATCAACAGAGCAGCCTCCCCAGTAAAGTTGCTAGAAATGTAGAGGTGTTCAAGGTTAGGAAGATGATTAGAGTGCCAAACTATGCTAATGGTCTAAGAGTGGTGGAATGACTGGAGAATGAGCAGCAGCAAATATCTGGAATGTTGGAGAGTGAGCGGCTGGGTGAAGGTGAAGCAGGTAGCTCAAGAAGATGACAATGACAGTGCGCAAATGGGCAGCATCTCCCCTAAGTTCCCAAAATTCCTCCTCTTGAACCTTGGGAAATGGGTCCTATTTATAGGCTTTTCCTTGGTACAAAGAGGACACCAAGTGGCCAAATAGAGAGAAGACAGGTGTCCCTAAAGATCACACAAAATATTCTTCCTTGAGCCACCAGGATGAAGGTGCCATGTGTCCCTCTGCATGTACTGTGTACTGTATGTATGCCTCTGTAACTACCTTTTCAAGCCTCAACAAGTGTAGCTATGATGGGAGTGTTTGGTGTTGCAACTCTCTTTTAAGCCTCAGCAAGTGCAGTTATAGCCGGAGTGTTTGCCTCTACACTTGCCTTCTCAGCTTGAACCTCAGCAAGTGCACTTATAGCGATGAACCATGTCGCTGCACTTGCCTTCTCGGTTCTATTTGGTCTGTACATGCATTCTCAGGACTCCATTAGCCTGCTGTCGGTCATGTTTGTGTTCACCTTAGTGAAACCTCTACCCTTAGTCACCTAACCACAAACTCCCCAGTTTCGACCTCAGCAAGTGCACTTACAGCGATGAACCATGCCGCTGCACTTGCCTTCTCGGTTCTATTTGGTCAGTACATGCATTCTCAGGACTCCATTAGCCTGCTGTCTGCCATGTTTGTGTTCACCTTAGTGAAACCTCTACCCTTAGTCACCTAACCACAAACTCCC